GCGCCAGTGAGACCGCGCGCGATCGAGTGTCCTCTGCGTCGCTCAGCGGGCTGCACGGGCCGGCCGCAGCGCTGGAACCGCAGGTGCCGTGTGCGCAGCCGCGGTGATGGTCATGGTGCATTCGGCGGCCCACGCTGCTGCCGTAATCTCCCCCCACGTGAAAATTTTCAAGTCGGGCCTAGGCCGATCAAATACCTCTCGTGTCAAGTAACTTCATGTTATTATTTATTCTAGGGTTGTTTAGCCAGGAAAGCCTCACTTAAGCTCAAGGCTCTTTTTCAGCGAGCCCTTGCCAAGTTTTTTCATAGCAGGGCAGTGCGATGTTGCGATGTGAAATCCCAGTTGACTAATTTTCAGTTAGCTATTCTGCATTGGGATGTTTCCACCAATGCCAGTTACATCGTATGATTGTTTTAGCTCGAGAAAGAAGCCGCAAAATCCAGAGGAAACCCGTGCGCAGAACAGGGGAAGAGCCTTCAAACTCCGCACAGAAAGGCACCAACTCTCTCGCGCCGCGGCGGCGTAGCTCCGTGGCCGTGCCGCGACGTAAGGAGTGGCCGCCGGTTGCTGTCGTCGTCGTGGGAGCTGCTTCGGTGGCAGCGGACGAGGCGGCGAGACACCCGAGATGGACTTATTGTGCCGCAGGAAGCGGCGCTTCGTGTTACCGTGAGAGTCCGACGGGGGAGTCCCACCGGCAGCGGAGCGTGTGCGCTCGCACGCTGCTCCCGCTGCTCCCGCTGCTCCCGCAGAGCGCCACGCCGTGCGCGGTGAGCGTGGCGGTGGTGGCGGAGGCGGTGACGGCGGGGAGCGGGGAGGCCGTGTCGGTGGTGTGCGTCTTGCACAAGCGAGTCGCTGCTCCGCTAAAAACAAATTCCTCATCCCCGAATCCCCCCCCACTTCCGAATGGCATCTACCAACCCGTAGTTGATGATGGATTTGTGATCGTAATTTCTGTAATGTTCCTCTTGGAACGAAAGTAGAGGTAATATTTGTGTTGTTAAGACGTGGATGTTTGCAACGATACATATCGTTGCATAGTTACTGTTAGTTGGACCCTGACAAAGGGTCTACAAAGCTTCTGGCTTTTGGGCATCGGCACATGCTGAGCATGCTACGTATTCGGGAGCAGATGGGGTAAGCGATGTCTCGAGTCTAGAACAGGGCATTGCAAGAGACAGTTGCGTAGTTTACTGAATCGGGAAGAGAGGTTGGGAAAGGTGGGTCGTGTGGTGGCTTCTGGTAACAAACGGGGAAAACTCGGCCCGGATTTTGGGGCTCTATCGGACTGGGCCTTGGGTCTCGGGTGTCGGTGTGGTGGGGTCGCATCAGCATTCGCCGTGATAGCCACTAGATGTTGAGATTGATGTGCAAAAAACAGTTGTTAGCTGCGCTATTGTGGTCGTGATCATCTTTGGACATCTGTGAAAAGAGATTCATAGTTCATTGGATTTCTCTAGAATAAAGATTCTGATTCTTTTTGTAAATATTAATAATTCACAACTTTTGTAAATCCATTTCTGGATGAAGGCCTCCCCACGCCATGTCAGTCATAGGGGTTGTGGACCATACTTCACCACGCTCGGCAGTGCCGGTTGGGGATAGGGGAACAAGGAAGCGGTTCGGATCTCACTCGCCACTGACGTCAACCTTGGCTGGGATGGAACTCGGGTCACCAAGTTTGCAGTTTTGTGCATTAACCACTGCACCGCCGCTCCGCCACGGCCGCAATTAACGTTGCGTTGTTATGCCTGGCGTCGGGGGCGAGTGTACTTTGGCTTGCGTTGTTCAACTAGAGACTGGGTGAAGCGGAGCACCAGACACACAAAGTCTGCCCACTGCTCCACGATGAGTTTGATCGCCGGCTTAGTTCAGTGTAACTTGCCGTGTGGGACATTCCCTTCCCTTGATTGCCTCTTTACTGACAGAAGCAGGGTAAGTGAGTCAATAATTAAACATTGATTAAAAATGTCAAGCGTGATTCATGTCCCATTCCATTTATATTAACCGGTGGTCCGGCGTGAAAAGTGACACGCCGTTTCCTGCCCGCGTTGTCGTCCCGCGCATTTTTTTGGATGGGGTGGTGGGGTTGTGGGTGTGCGTAGGAGCGTGCGATGGGGTGTAGAGGCACTGGGGGTCGGGGGAGCGGCGGAGGAGCGCCCGCCCGCCCACGCTCGCCCACACTCGCCTCCGGGCACTACGCCGGTGTTTCCGTTAGCGTGCGTGCCACGACACGCCCGCCACCGTCACCCGTCCATTGCAAAAGCCCCATGTCTATTGGAGTGCGTTTGTTTGCTTGTACGGACGTGGGGCTACTGAGCTGCTGTATGTATGCACTGTGCAAGCCTGCGGTTACCCATTGTCGAGTTGTACTTGATTGTCAGATGCAGTGGCCCTGCTGATCCACCTGGCCGAGAGCGGAACTTCCCGTGAGCCGCCGTGACCTGTTTTGTTGAGGGGGCTGCCCCCAGGTCTCCAAGGGTGGTGCTGAGTGACCAAGTACGCAGCACCGGCAGGTCTCCACGATCTGGGCTCTTGGCTGATCTCATCGCTCGTGAGATGAATCGACAAGCCCGCCTTGGGTGTTTTCATTTTGGCACATCATCGGGGGTCCTGAACAAGATATTCTGCAAGTCGGCTTACTCGCACGTCAGTCATCGCCCCCCTACTGCGAAAACTTGGCAGGATGGTCCTGAAAAAGAGTCTTGAGACTCAGACTTTTATGAGTAAACAAGTGTAAATAAAATAAATGATACAAATTACGTGTTTTCCAGTACAATTTGCGGATAACAGGAAGTTGTGCTGACACGACACTGCTCTCATCTGCAATTTCGTTTATCCGGCCACATTATGGCTTAGAAGAGATGTCTTTTGTTGCACTTACGGAGCCCTGTAAGTGCACCGAAGTGCGTTAACATCGCATGCCACCATGCTCATATATTTAACAGCCTTCGCAAAACAAGAAACACACGCCCGCTAATTGCCGCAATCAATTTGGCCGCATGGCACGGCCGCAAATTTAAAACGTCGCCGTCATCCGGCGAGGGCCTCAACGGGAGGTCCGTTGATGGGGTTCTCTTCCTCCCGCATAGATTCACAAAGAAAGGGGTCCGTAAGAGTTTTGTACGTCTGCCATTAGCGCATAAGTGCTGGTTTTTATCTGATTTGTGGGTTAGTGTTCCACCCATCTCCTTTGTTAACATCCCTGGTACCTGAATGGCGCGCGAGAGGCCAGGTGTGGGACTCGGAGGAGTTTTGTGCAGTGTGCGTGGGTGCGTGTGATCCGCTTGTGGGGAGCGCCAGTTCAGTGGTTAACGCCACTGCGCTACGAGCCGAGCGACCAGAGTTCAATTCCCGCTCGCAGCGAAGATCGGTGACACATCTCTGAACTGGACCTGGGCCCTCCCCCAGGTAGACTCGGCCTACAACGGCACTGGGGAGACAAAGGCGGCCGGGCGTGCTGTTAGCCACCCACCCCCTCGTGTCCCATGCCGGCCTTCTTCGGTGCTCGCTAACAGCGCTTGTCCCAAAAGTTTGTCAAGGCTACACGGGGGGATATTTGTCTCTGTCCGTGACCCGGTCTGCACAGGATGTGAGAGTGCCTTTGTGCTGACAGAGCACGCGGCTATGGGTGAATGGGAACAGGTGGCGCGTCCTGCCAGGGCAGCCATTGTCGCGCTCGCGCTCCCCGTGCGGATCGAGTGAATGAGGAATGAGTTGACACAGCGCGGGGCACCGCCTCCCACCGCGACACGCTGGCCCGTGGGAGCCGGGCGCGACCCGACACGTTACGTTCGTCACCTGGTGTGGGGGCGCTTCAATTTGTGGGGGAACAGCTGAACGATTGTAACGACGAGGGAGCCGTCGCAGCGCTGTCATTTATGCGAGCAAATCAATTCTTGGACTGAGCCGCCGTAACAGCTCCCCATCTAAATCTCATTACCGCCGCAGTGCTGAGCAGTAGAGGCGCTGTGGTGGCGCATGGACTCATCGATTCTTATTGATCGTTATGTTCGTGGCACGTGCATCTGATTATATTGTTTCTCCACGTGTATGCTACGTGCTATGGATTCCTGCGACCAAGACGTTGCCTCCTTTACACTTGTTTCCATTACGGCCACACACACGGTGTTACCGACGAACGTCTGGTGACCGTTTGTTGAATCTAAATCAGAATATTTTTTCATACTGGAGGAATCCAATGAGCTGTAAAGCTCTTTTCCACGGATGTCCAGAAGTTGGACGTTGCATCGCCAACGGTGGGGCGCCGCTACGAGCGGCCGCCGTGGTTGTGAGCGCGCGGGCGCCGTGCCCAGTGGAGCCGGGGGATCGCCCCCGTGCAGGTTTCCCGCCCGGTGTGAATCCCTCGCGTGTCTTGTCGCAACCCCACGGCCCCCCCCCCACCCCCCGGCTTCATGCGGACCGCAGGTATCTCGTGGGATGATGCTGCACGCCGCTCGCAGGCGGCCCTCTCGAAAACCGCCGTTGTGGTGGCACGCATATATAAACCCCGCGCACACACAGTGTATATGTGTTGAGTGGTGGAGGAGTGGTTTGGCACGAGAACCCCAACATGTTAGTTTGATTCCTGGCCAAACCTAACATCAGTGGTGAGTGTAATTAGAGCTAATCCTGTCCTCCTCCTGCTGCCTTCTCCAACCCACAATGACCAGCTTGGTGAAGTGTGGTCAAACAACCACCACGGCCAACTCGGCATGGCGAGTCCTTCATCCAGCGTTGGATTGACAACAGGACTGCAAGTTACGCTGCCTGCGGGAGGACTGATGATGAATACTCCAAATCCATCAGCCTGACCTTGCAAAAATAATAGACTCGGGCCGACGCAAAGTCTGGGGAATATGTATAATCTTTTGTTGTCCTAATTAAATTACACGCAAATCTGTATTCCCTACATGGCGAGTAGCTACGTGTTAATGCGCGAGACGCGAGCGTATTTGGCGACGTTCGGGTGGCCGCGTCTCACAGCGCATTTGTTTCCGCAGGCGCTGGCGGTGAGGCGACCTGCCGGGGTTGCGGCGATGGCGTGGGGACCGGCGATGCACGTGCTGCTTCTCCTCTCTTGGCTGGTGGCGCTCGGCGGGGCGTGGCGCGCGGAAGCGCCCGGCTCCGCGGTTCCCCTGCGCCTCCAGTTCACGCGGCCCGTCTACAACGCCACCATCTACGAGAACTCCGCCGTCAAAACGTACGTGGAGAGCCGCGAGATGATGGGCGTCCCGCTCGGCGATGCCTCGTGGGACGTCAAGTACAAGGTCGTGTCCGGCGACGACGACCACTTCTTCAAGGTGGAGGAGTACACGGTGGGAGACTTCTGCTTCCTGCGAATCCGAACCAAGGGCGGGAACGCGGCCATGCTGAACCGCGAGGTGAGCGACCGGCACCTGCTCACGGTGAAGGCCACGGTGAGGAGCGAGAACCTGGAGGCCTGGACCAAGGTCCTAGTGCAGGTGCTCGACACCAACGATTTGCGCCCGCTCTTCTCTCCGACCTCGTACTCCGCGACTGTCGGGGAGAACGCCCCGCTGCGCACCACCGTCGCCAGGGTGACGGCCACGGACGCCGACGTCGGCACCAACGGCGAGTACTACTTCAGCCTCGGGGAGAGGACGGACGTGTTCGCCGTCCACCCCACCACGGGCGTGGTGATGCTCACGGGCCGGCTGGACCCCGAAGTCCGGGTGTACAACCTGGAGGTGCTGGCGGTCGACCGCGGCACGAAGCTGTACGGCAGCGGCGGCGCGAGCAGCGCGGCGCGCCTCACGGTCCGAGTCGAGCGCCGCAACGAGCACTCCCCCGCCGTGTCGGCCGCCGCCACCCTCGCGCCGTCGTCCGCCGCCGCCGCCGGGGGCGCCACCTACGCCGTGCTGACGGTGACGGACGAGGACGCGGGCCAGGCCGGGGAGATCGCGTCGGTGGCCGTCGTGGCGGGCGACCCGCTCGGGGAGTTCCGCGTGGTGAAGGCGCCCGGGGCGCACGAGTACTGGATCCAGGCGGACGGGGAGGTGGACTGGGACGGCCGCCCCCACGGGCGCAACCTCACCGTGCAGGCCAAGGATCGCGGGCAGCCGCCGCGCTTCTCCGCGGGCAAGGTGGTGACCCTGCGGGGCCCCCGGGGTCACGGGCTCGACGCTCGCTTCGAGAAGAGCGAGTACAAGGTGCACCTGAGCGAGTTTGCGCCGCCGGGCAGCCAGGTGGCCCTCGTCCGGGCCGCGCCCCACAGCCCGAAGCTCCGCTACCACCTGAAGGCGAGCAGCGACAGCGCCAGGTTCGAGATCGACGCCCACACCGGGCTCGTCACCTGCGCCGCCCCACTCGACGTCCTGCAGGCGGAAGTGTTCGAGCTGGAGGTGACGACCAATGCCGGGCTCGCTTCCGCGAGGGTCGTGGTCAAGGTGAAGGACGAGAACAACCACCTGCCGACGTTCAAGCACTCGTCGTACAAGGCGGTCGTCAACGAGAACGTCCCCGTGGGCAGCAGCGTCGTCAGGGTGCTCGCCACCGACCTGGACACTGGCGACAACGGCTACGTGACCTACAGCATCGCCAACCAGGAGCCGCTGCCCTTCTCCATCGACCCCTTCACGGGGGTCATCAGCACGGCCGACGAGCTGGACTACGAGGTGATGTCGCGCGTCTACTCGCTACGCGTGCGCGCCTCCGACTGGGGCTCGCCGTACCGCCACGAGGCGGAGACGCTGGTCACGGTCGCCGTCGGCAACCTCAACGACAACCGGCCGGCGTTCGAGCGCGTGGCCTGCGTCGGCACCGTCCCCCGGGACCTGGAGGTGGGCGAGCACGTCGCCACGGTGTCGGCTATCGACGCCGACGAGATGCAGCTGATCCGCTACGACTTCGTTTCCGGAAACGAGCCGGACACGTTCGCGCTGGACCCGTCGTCCGGGGTGGTGTCGCTGCGGCGGCCGCTGACGGACGCGGCCGGCCACGGCAGCTACAGCCTGCGCATCCGAGCCACCGACGGAGAGAACGCCGCCGGGCCCATGTTCATCAACCTCACCGTGGCGGGCGAAGGCAGCGTCCTGACCCTGCGGTGCCAGGAAACCGGTGCGGCCAAGGCGCTCGCCGAGAAGCTGCTGCGGACCGGCCGCTACCGGAGCGGCCGCCTCGACGCGGAGGCCTTCGGCGACGTCCACGGCGTGAACTGGCACGCGCCCGAGTTTGGCGAAGGGTTCCCGTCTCCGACGAGCGTGCCCGAGGACCTGGCGGTGGGGGCCACGGTCGCCACGGTCACGGCCACGGACGCGGACGGCGGCTTCGACGGCAAGGTGGTGTACGTCATCTCCGGTGGCAACGACCACAGCTGCTTCTCCATCGAGGGCGACACGGGGCGCGTCAAAGTGCTCTTGCCGCTGGACCGGGAGCAGAGCGACGCTCACACGCTCAACATCACGGCTTACGACCTCGGAATTGTGCAAAAGTCATCGTGGAGGCTTTTGCTGGTCAAGGTTTTGGATGTGAACGACAACCCTCCCGAATTCCTCCAGCCGGCGTACTCTGTCACGATCCCGGAAAATGCCGAGCAAGGAAAACAGGTCATCCAGGTGGAAGCCGTGGACAGGGACGTCGGGGACAACGGGAGGGTGACCTACCGTCTCCTCACCTACAACGAGCAGTTCGAGATCGACGGCGAGAGCGGGGTGGTGCGGGTCGTGGGCCCCCTGGACAGGGAGACGGTGAGTGTCCACCACCTGACGGTGGAGGCGAGCGACCGCGCCGAGCTGGACCCGCGCCTCTCCTCCACGGCGACGGTGTCGGTCTTCCTGGAGGACGTCAACGACAATCCGCCCGAGTTCGTGCCGCCCCACTCGAAAGTGCGCGTGCGCGAGGACCTGCCGCCGGGCACCGTGGTGGCGTGGCTGGAGACGCGCGACGCCGACCTGGGCGCCAGCGGGCAGGCCCGCTACTCGCTGCTGGACGACGGCGACGGCGCCTTCGAGGTGGACAAGCTGTCGGGCGTCGTGCGGCTGGCGCGCGAGCTCGACTTCGAGAGCCGCGAGCTATACAACCTGACGGCGCGCGCCAAGGACAAGGGGCGGCCCGCGTCGCTCTCCGCCACGTGCTCGCTCGTCGTGGAGGTGGTGGACGTCAACGAGAACCTGCACGCCCCCGAGTTCCCGAGCTTCGTGGCGCGGGCGTCCGTGCGCGAGGACGTTGCGATCGGCACCGAGGTGCTGACGGTGTCGGCGCGGGACGGCGACGCCGGGCGGGACGGAGAGGTGCGCTACTCCGTCCGCGATGGCAGCGGCCTGGGCGTGTTCTCCATCCACCCCGAGACCGGTGAGTGAGCGCGGGCGCCTTGCGAGATGACGACGACGAGGGCGGGCCCCGGCCCACGTGCGCGCTGACCAGAACTCGTGCTCGCACGAATGAACGACGGTGTTTATTGAAGGAAATTACCGCTGCTTGATGGACATGTTTGGCCTTGTACCATGGTCCTCGGGCAATATACCTTGACCACAGTGGGGGATTGTTCCCATTATTGCCTTGGTGTTTGTTCTCCTGTGTGTTTGTTCCCCCTGCGTGCGTGTGTCACCGTGCTTGCTCGTGCGTTGAGTGTATTACTGCCTATTTGTGAGAATTTGTCGACTGTATATGCTGTCAAACACAAGTGAGCGAACTCTAACCCATCACTGTCGAGGTGGCCGTAGATTGCAGTGCAGTTTTTGTTTTGATGTTAAACCGTGCTGATTGTCGATGTAGATCCACTTCTAAAGGCGTTCTGTCACAAAGCAGCACGATTAGAAGCTTTTTGCTCACAAAATGTGTACTTTTTTAAGCGTTTTAACTTCAAAAGCTCAATTGACCAAAAGCACAGCTGGACTTCAAACCGTATCATTCTTTCATGTGAGTTGTAAGTTTTAAAATGCGGCTTTGTTTCTATCGTTCGCACAGCGGCCGCTGTTGAAATATCCAGGGGTGGGGCACACCCAGCGACGATCCACGTCTTTGACGTTGCTCGCTACGAATCAGGATTTTTTTTTTTAATAAATGAGCGTTAAACGTTCACCCGGCGCTCGCTGCATTCCAGTCGTTCCCGCCTGTGCTCACTTCCAACGGTTTCTTATTTTTGGGGTGCGGCCGCGCTGGAGGTGTTAAAATCTCGCGTTTTGGGGGGGAATGCGCTCTGCGGCTTGGCCGCTCTCCACCCCGTCTCGACACTGCATGGCGATGATGGAAACCACATTACTGTTTTTTTATTTAAAAAAATAATACGTGTACTTTTAAAAGAGCCAATTCAAAACGTGTGTGACCTACATCGGTGCCAAACCCCGATTCTTACGGAGCAGATGTGAAGAGCTGCCCTCTGGTCGGCAACAAAGGGGGGGGGGGACGGTCGCGCGCACACGCTCGGTGCGCCGGCCGACACGATCTCGTGCTCCGTGTCGCCGCGCGGCGACGCGGCCCGTTCCGCCCGCAATCCCACCACGCGTGGACCATTTAACGCGCAATTCTACACTAAACTATAAACTGTTCAAAACTCTTTTTTTATTTTATCAGGTAAAACCCACTGAGCCATGTATCTCTTTTTCAGAAGCAACCTGGCCACAAATGATAGCTCAACAAAAAGGGGCTTATCACGTGGACATTTCTATCAAAATCCGTAGGACCCCATTAAAAATTCACACGACCACGGGGAGAACACACAAACTCCATATGTATACGGGCGTCAGGGTCGGGATCGAGGCTACGATCTCCAAACATATGCTCAGTAATACAGGGGCACACCGTCAGTGGCACTGATCGAGCAGCGCGCAGTGCCTGAGCGGAGTTGGGTTGGATTTCCTCAGATATCCTATTATTAGTAGTATTATTATTGACCCTTGTTTACCCAGGAAAGCCTCACTGAGTCCTCAACGTTTTTAATGAGGGTCCTGCCAAGTTTTCGCAGTTGGGTATGACATTGCTGCTGCGTGTAACCCCTGCCGAGTATTTTTCAGGAAATGTTTCCGCATTGGGACGTTTGCCCACCGCCAGTTGCATTGCGTGCGTGTGTGTGCGCGCGCGTGTGTTTCTAAGTTAACAACGGATGGATCTTTGACACCAATAACGGACGCGAGTGTGTCGCACACGCCGTCGCGTCCGTCACACACCTCGCCTTGTGCGTGACACTCGCATCTCCTCGTCTTCTGCTGTCATTCAGCTTCCCCAATGAGGCATAGCTTCGAACGCGGTGCACCACTCTGCCTGTGCCCGTGTCGGTGAAGCGGAACGCGCACTGTTCACACTCGCGCTGGGGAATTTCCTCTCCGCTTCTGTAAATGCTGCTTCTTTGGATGGAGTTTGTAACTTTGGGTTAACAGGTCACACTTTAAAATAAACCTAAACTAAACAAAAAAAATAATTTCACCACCTATGGCCCACTGAGCAGTGGGCTCAATGAACCCTGGCCGGAATGTGAACTCATAATCTCACAGCGAGGTGTTCCCTGCTCTGCCAGTCGATCTACGTCACTATATTATTGATAATGCTTCCGCAGAAGAGTGTGCCTCTGATCATGTTTCTTTCCACCGAATTCACTTTTTGTGATTCTTTTCAATGCATTTTTTTAATTATTTTTTTTGCTTAAGTATTACAGTATAACAGAACCAGAATGTGTATTTAAATTGGAGGAGTCTGAACTATGAAGCTATTTTTTTACAGATGTCCAGTAGGGGCGGGTTAGCAAGTTACATCAGCCAAAAAAATAATGAAGGATACTATAAACTCTTTTTATTTTGCCAGGCAAGGCCCACTGAGCTATGTAGCTCTTCTACAGAAGTAACCTGCCCACAAATGATAGCTCAACGAAGTGGCTTATCATGGGGAAATATATAGCAGCCAAATACTCTCTTGATTCTAAGTGTGGAGGGGAAAATCTGAGGGCCCAGAGAAAAATCCACACGACCACGGGGAGATAGAGAGACATGGACTCCAAATATATTCAGGCATCAGGGTCGGGATCGAACCTCCTGTATTCCAGGTGAGGTATTTAACATCTTGCCACTGTGGCTCCCTTTGCTGATGAGATGCAGTAAAGTCAAAACTGGTCCCAGGTTGCATTGCTTGAGCAAATGCAATGCATCTTGTACGATCAAACACCTTAACATTTACAAGTAAACGCATCTCAAGACGCTAAGCGTGAGATGGGACACACACACACGCTGTGACCGGAGGTTATTAGAGAAGGATGTGGGTGATGGCTGGGACAGCACGTGACTGAGGAAAAGGAGGAGAGGCCAACAGCGCGCTACAGGTCACATGGAGGTCCTGTGAGAGGGGAAGGCGGAGGAGAGAAAGTTCCGGAGGCTGGATTTTAGTGCAAGGATAGAGCCACGAGTCACTCCTTAGGTGTCGTTAACTGCGAGGGCTGTAGCCTGATGACTAAAACGCGATTTGCTTATGACAAGCTCGGCAATATCCCTTGCCCACAAATCTATTGTCATGCGGAGAGCGGTGTGTTGCAAACTCCTCCATGGTGGGGCCCAATCACTGCTGCTGGGCCCAGGGGTTCTCCGAGGTGGCCCGTGGTCACGCTGCGCGGGGAGCGGGACAGCCGGTGGCGTGGGCTGCTTCCGCGACTTGGTCGAGCGCGAGCGTCGGGCTGTGATCGCACGTGGCAGGAAACTGGGTGTGCAGCGGATGTAGGCCCAGACAGTGTTATGACAGGCAGGTAAATGGTGCGTGTCAAAACCGTTAACGTTGTGAAGTGAACGTTCTGGCAAATTTGATTCGTGCGGTTTCTCTGCATCCTTGCCTCCGCCGCCCACCGGCCGTGTCTTTAATCTCAACAATTAGCAACTCCTGTTAGGGTCACGGAAGGTGATGCAGAGAGAGTTCTTTGGGGCGGGCGCTCTGTGCGCCGTGTACCCGCCCCTGCCACCTTACTTCTCCCACCCACTGCAGATTTTGTGGTTCTCTTGCCTGATGTGGCTCGCGCGAATGTTAGAACTTTGTTATAATTCTCGTTTAAGTAACAAATATTCATGCCAAGATTTTTTGTTGTTGCTACATTATATCTGCACATGACGTTTGCAGCATTTTCAGGACAAGGGTCGTTCAGTAATTGCTGATAGTTGTCAACTGATGTTTTCCGCCCACTAATTGGCGCCCTTGTGGGCACGTGACAGTCCCAGGTGACGACGATGCTGCCGCAGACTGCGGCCCATTTCCCAGCATTGGATTATTTTTATTCCGCGGCTACTAGATTGGCACTGGCTTACGCCGCTCTCTCACTAGCGTCAGCCAGTCGCGCGTAGTCTGACGACGGCCCCCTTTGCGTGGACTAGGCCTAATCAAGTGAAACGCCAAAGAATGATTTGTGAATATTCACGGCTGGGTCGCTGGCTCCCCTCGAGCCCGCTTTGACCACACGCGGCCAGGGCTCGTGCCGCTCTCACGCAGGTGGCCACATCGACGTTAGGCCCCCGAGTTGCCCACTGCAGCCACAGAGGCACATTTAAAAATGTGCCCACTGCAGCCACGGACACTTCAAAGTTTGATGTTGAGCTCTGATCATAAGCGGCCGCTGGCACCATTCCTCATATCGGAAGGTTACCACCGAGACTTTAAGTTGGGGCCGAGCTGGTGACACAGGCTGATTCTGTGCCGTGCCAGGGGGGTCTTGACCCACGGCAGCTAGCGGGGACCCCACGGGCGATCGCTGCTCACGGACAACCTCCCGACGGACGTGTGCCGAGTTTTCTTCCTGGTTTGCCAGCAAATTGAGCAGGACAGCGGCACCCGCCGCCTCCGTTGGGCAGATGCGCAGCAAAACGGGGTCCACACAATCACGAGTCCATGTGAGAAGACCATTCGCTCAAAGCACGCGCTGCCCAGAGCCATGGCCCCCCTTTGGAGAGGCGACAGATTCCAAGCGACCGAGCGTGGCTCTCGCGTCCTCTTCGTACCAGAGTCTGCGAGCACCCCGGCGTCCAGCTGATGAGCGCTCCTCTCTCTCTCTCTCTCGCACCTCGACTCCCTGCTGTGCGATCTGGCAAATTTACCTCCACGTTTTTGAACCTCAGGGCGAGCGCCGTTATACCCCCCCCCCCCACCCGTCCTCGCGGGGCGCTCTCTCTCGCGCGGGGGAACAGCGCTCGCATTGTTCCCGCTAAGCCTTTGACGTCGTTCAGGTCTGGGTGCACGGCGTCCGGGATCACCGGCGGCCCGCACGAGCGGCCCACACACGGTGCAGTGCCCGGGGGGGGGGGGGGGGGGGGGGTGGTGGTCTGCGTTTTCAATCGGGAGCGCGTACAGCACCGGGACATTCCCATACAGTCGCCTTTGTCTGTGCAGTA